ATTGCAATTTCAATGGTTTCTTGAAGTGGAACATTGGTATATAAGCTGGTTAAATCATATGATACAAAACAATATTGTGGAGATTGACTTGCTTATTTCTTAAATGAAGAAAAACGATTCTTTTGTACAAAACTCAGTGTTTATTAATGGAGATGATAAATTTCTAAGAAATTTGACTAGTTGGTAATTATAGGTTTCAATAGATGATACAATGGGCCTAAAGTTTATGGTAGTCTCAGAAGAATTTAATTTTTGCATCTTTGGAAGTCCATAGATACAAGCAGGATAGGATCCAAACCTATAAATTCTGTTATGTAGAATCATGGAAAAAACCTTTTATTTTTAGCTTCCTTAAAAGTTTTCAAGTTAAATTTCTCTATTTATGGTAACATCTTTCTTATGTTGTTTAAATTGTTTTATCATTAACAATTTTTTAAATACCGTACGTACAGGGGTGTGCAGGTTATTGCAGAAAAAAAAAAACAATTTGAATTTTGCACTTAAAATGTCTGTAAATTTAGAAAAAACAAATTTGCCAGGAAAATCAATGACAGCTTAACTGGTTAATAATAAAAAACATTGTCTGTTTTTATAAATTAGAAAAAAAATGGGTTAATTAACCACCTGGAAAAAGAAAAAGTAAGAAAACTTGTTTTTTCACTCTTGAAGGCAGGTGTAAAGAAAAGCAAAATTTGCAAAGAAGTGAAAGGACAGCTTCATAATTCAAAAGTTTACCAGCTCATCAAAGATCTAGAAAAAAGTGGAAATGGTAAACTGAAGCAGACAGGTTCAAGAATATTTGTAAGAACTTCAAAATTCTTTTGGCTGCAAAGTGCGATGAAATCCAAATTAATTAATATCTAGCTTAGCTAGAGACTTGTGTGTCAATGAGAACACTGCAACGAGTCATCCATGAAGACTTAGGTATGAAGAGCTTTGTAAAGTCAAATAGGCAACTATTGAGTGAGGCTACAAGAGCTAAACAACAAAAAAGAACAAAGCAGCTTCTAAAATGGTTTAAAACTCACCCAAGTGTTCCAGTTATCTACAGTGATGAAAAAATCTTCACAATCAAGCCTGAGCTCAACAGATTTCTATGAGCTCAACAGATACAACAACAGAGTTTTATGTAGTCTAGAAGAACATTTCCATTTGAAATTCGGACTATAACAAGAAGATAGCCCTCTATAGAAGTGATGGTATGGTGTGGTGTTTGTTCAGATGATTCCAAAACTCCACTTGTCTTTGTTCCCAAAGGTGTCAAGGTAAACCAAACAACTAATGTTTGTAATTTTATAAACTTTATAAAAGCTAACTTATTGCCTTGGACCATAAAGAAGTTCAGTAATGATCCATGGGCTTTCATGAAAGATTCTGCACCTGTACAGAGCCAGGAAAACTGTGACCTTTCTCCAATAAAATAATCCTCGCTTGTGGTTGCCAGAAATGCGGCCCCATATTTTGGTGGAATTGAAAGCTGTAAACCATTTTTAAGAATGATTTCATCATGAGAGAGTTTGTAGTTATATTATTATTAGCTTGTACACAAAAAATTACATTTTTTATTGTTTTTTTTTAAAACCTTTATAGGTATTTTAACAAATTTTAAATATTTAATTGTAACTGAAGATGACTAGTGTTAGTCGAAACATGTATTGTTTTTTATTAATGTTATGGTTTTAAAATTAAAAAAAATTGTTTTGTTTAAAAAAATATTTTCGTTTTTTAATTTATGTTGACATCTTGTACAAGAGCATATATAAAAACTACTTTGAAACATCAGATAATATAAAGTCTCTCAATACTAAATAATTTATTTAAATTTTCGATGGGTAATAGGCAACAGCATCATCACCATTTAATATAATTTGTAGTTTTGATTTATTTCTGGCTGTTAATAGAGTTTTTAAGTTAACAAAATTATTGTCAATTAACGTCTAGAAATAAATCAAAACAGCCAACCAGGAAGCTATTTAACTAAGTGCAAATGCTCCAAAGTGTGTCGGTGAATCAAAACTTCAAATACCAATGCGATAGCTTTGCATAGAGTAAATTGCAATGAGAACATTGAATTGGATTAAGCAAAAACACTTAAAGTGTTATATATATATATATATATATATATATATATATATATATATATATATATATATATATATATATATATATATATATATATATATATATACACATAGATAATAATATAATATGGTGGTACCATATTATATTATAACATGGTATAAACTCAAAATACTCTAACAAAACTGCTACACAACTTCAAAAAATTTTACTCTAGCCAATACGAAACCTCATTAATATATTTCTATATATTCTATTTTTTATATACTCTAATCAATTCCATAAAATACAATTCAAAACTATTTTACTCTAATTGCAAATAATCTAACATAAACAAATCCTAAGAATGTCAAAATGAAAGCAATAGACTTGAATCTTAGACCAAAGGACGCAAAGGAACTAACGCTGCATAGAAATTATATAGCATTGTTATATCAAATAAACTAAACACAAACTAATTCAAATTTAATTTCTGTATACTAAAGACTGTAAAATGGTAAAAAGCAACTAGAAGAGCTAACAAACAGAATAATTGATTTGGAGAGGAGGGAGATCGATCATTTGGTCAGAATAAAACAAGCTGGAAAATGGAAATGGAATTAATATCCAAAAAAATTAGGACTTTGGAATACCAGAAAAATTTTGGAATTAATATCCAAAAAAATTAGGACTTGGGAATACCAGAAAAACAGTAAAACTTTGGATTGGAGAAAGGTATTTGATAAAAAGGGTACTAAATCAAGTGATGAAATCAATATTATCAACTCTGTAACAAATGAAAGAGAGAGAGAAAAGGGAGAATAATATTATTATTTTTGGGCTAAATGCTTTAACAGAAGCAGATCCTAAAATGGAAAAAGAAGAAAATAAATCTACAAAAAAAAAGTAATAAACAAACTTAATGTGAATGTTACCATACAAAATGTCATAAAGTTAAAGCCTAACAATGGTAGCAATGCTCCATTTATAATAGTGCTTAAGGATAAAGCTGAAAGAAATACAAAATTAAGAAAATCTAAAGAGTTAAGAGATAAAAGAATATGAAAAAGTACACATCAACCCCGATCAAACCCAAACTGAAAGATATAATTCAAAACAATTAAGAGAACAGTGCAAAGAGAAAAAGAATACTAATTCAAATGGAGAAATTTTACTATGGCATTA